TATTTGTTTTAATTTAATCTTTCCTTCTGGGGAAAAATCACTTTCTTCAAACTTTTGTTTCATCACTTCAGGGACATCCACTGGTTTGTACCACGTCGTGGTGGCTGAGGGGCTTATTTTTATTGTTTCTGTTTTTAGCACTTCCAGTTTCTTCCTTTCTGTTTTCTCAGCCTCCTCGGGGTCATGTAGGACCTTCAAGTCTTTGACTGTTACCAGATCATAAGGTCCTTTTATCCATCTCACATTTTACTAGATCCATATGGCATTTCCTCTATTGCTCCATTAGCCACTCGAACATATAGGTACCCTTCAGTCTCTAGGTCTTTCCGGGTCATGGATACCTCTGCCCCTGTATCCACCTTGAAGAGGGGTCCATCTACTTTGGTGTAGATGTGGTCCCCAATCCAGAAGGTGTTTTCCAGGACGACCCGGGGTCCATCATTTGGGCGGCCCTCCGGCCACTTGTTCCCTGTCCTGACGGAGGGCATCTTTTGTTCAGGGGTCAATTTGTTGTACTCTTCTGGGGGCAAGTGAGGGGCTCTTCTTGGGCCTTGGGCAGGCTGAGTTGCCAGACTTCCTCTTTCCGGTCCTTGCCGTTGTTGTGGTGAGGGCCTATACTGCTGTCCCTGGTTGCTCGGCTGGTATTGCTGTCTGGGGTCTTTGTCCCTCTACTGAGGGATTGGTTGATGAAATTTACCTTGGGGATTGGTCGGCTCATTCAGGGCCGCTTTGGTGGGGACTTTTGGTGGCTTCGGTATTGATTCCTTCTTTCTTCTTTCATCCCAATAGAGCAGTTCCAAGTCATATTTTCTCACTGCTGCATCCATTTGTGCCACTGTGGTAGGTGGGATGGGCATGGTGGCAAAAGTTATGCCACCCCTTCGCCCCATTGTCACCATCCTTAGGGCCTTTACATACCTGGTAGGGGCAATGTTTTCTTTCAGTTGATGCCAGATGGGGGTTAATTTTTGTCCTTGTTCTAGCCTGAGCCGAGCCCTATCACTGTGGGCGTCCTCATCATTTTCATCTTCAGGCACAAATTTTTCATAATAGTCCTGAGCCGAATCTTTCTTGTCGATGGGATGGCCTGTAGTGTGACTCAGCCACAGGCATTTTGCTGCCTCGTTGTCAGTGGAGTTCACGACGATGGGCCAAACATCTTTTAGATAGCTTTATTTTCCCTCGCCTGCATCTGGTTCTCTCACCAGAGTTTTACTCTTCTTATACTCACAGAACTTGTCTGCGTTGGCGCTCACTTCTGTAATTGATTTCCACTCCTGCCCTCCTGCTGAGTCCCTTTCACCTGGGGCTGTTACTGGTGGTGCTGGTTCGTCCGAAAGCATCCCATCTTCCTCTTCATACACCATGTCTCTCGTGAACTTCTTTTCTGCTCTTTTCATCTTTTTCAGCATCACATCGTGGGCAATGTCCACATATGCTTGCCTAAAGTTAGCTGTCAATCTTTTGTGTGCAGCCAAAGTGGGATAAGACGGCATCATTATTATGTTGGCCCATTCCCCCACATTGGCCCTTACATTTATTTACAGCTGTTCTTCCGTCTTCTCAGCCCACGCCGGGGGTATTGGGAAATCTCTTTGATCTGCTTCGGACACATAGGTTCTTCTTCCATCACTGGTCTGGATAGGTCCCCACCGGGGTTCTCGTGCCATTCTCTCCGACACCGGGAGGACATCCATCAGTTCCACCTGCTTCTTTTTCCCTTTTCTTTGTCTGACCATTAGTTGTTTAGGGGTACCTTGACCTTGTGCTGCAGCAGACCCCATGCTGGAGTCATCGTTATCTTCTCCTGAGCTTTCATGGGGTATGGGGGTTTGTGGGAGCTCAGGAGAAGATGTCCCATGGGAGATCTCCTAACCTCAAACCACAGGTGCTGATGACAACTCTCCTCAGTCCTTGATGTACCGTGTGGTACAAACCTCGTTCCAATTTTTTCATCATTAGGCGGACATAGTTCTCCATGTCATCACCTTTCTTAAATGCAATTACTGGGACATGAATGATTCCATAGTGGGCCAGTCCGGCTCCACTAATCATTTGGGGTCAATCTGGATCTTTTTGTGGGTCTCTCTTAACTCCCTAACCTCTTCCTGGTATTCATGCCCCGAATTTTTTATTAGGGCTTTTCTGAATTTTGCGTTGTAACTTTTGTGGTTGTGGTCAGTGAATATCAACAGTCCATCACTTGAGATGGCCCATGGGTCTCCAACAGTTTGATGCAGGACTATACCATTCTGCATTCAAATCTTCAGGGTCTCTTCAGAGAGAGGGCCTAACGGGCCTCGCCACGGTATCCCTGGTTCTATGTGGCACCGTTTGCAGTCACATTTCCGATGTTTCTTGTCATCTTCATTGAGGGTGGTGTTCTCAAACTGCTGGGTCAAAGCCTTCACAGTGTTCTGGTTTCCATCGTTTTTTGGTTCTGACTTGGGGGTTTGACCCAGGGGTTTTTACCCAGGTACGTTTTTATATCTTGCAACGTCTGAGTCAGCTCTCCTATCTCTTTACAAAAGTGGAATCAATCATCGTCATCCTTGTCCTTGTCATCAAAAGAATCTCCGTCTTTCCAATCGAAAGAATCTTCATCATCTTGTTTTCTTTTCTTATCATCCTCATCCTCATCATCAGTCTCCGTGCCTGATTCTTCGCGGTCAGTGTTGGTGTCGGAATCTCCAACCACACTGGTTTCATCCTCATTACTCACTTTTGACCTTGTACTTCAACATGTTTTTCCATAACCTGAGTTCATACAGAGGCTGCTCCAGGCACTTATATTTCTTTTCAGGTTTGGATGCTGGATCAGCCACTATGCAGTTAATGGACTGTTCCCTGGCAACCAATTTTACCAGGGGGTCATACTCTGCTGACTGGCTTACCAGCTTCACCACGTCGGTTTTCCATCCTTTCACTGTTGCCAGCCACCATGTGACCCATTCCTCCTTCTGAACCTTCTTTTTGGTTTCTGGTGGATAAAGCAGCACGGCCAGCATGGCCCCATCCACCATGTTGGGCCCAAAGAAGAATGTGTTTTTGGTCATGTGGTCTTCCAGCTCAGCCAGGGCTTGCACTGGGTCTGTCTTTGTGGAATGTGACATGAAGATCGCCTTAGCAGTGGGGTGCCACTCCTTGGTCTCTCTGCCATAGAGCATAACTATGAATGGCGGGGTGGTCTGGGCTCTGGGTTGGGGGCCGTTTCTTGTGATGTCCCCGCTTTCTCTTTATCTGGGTAGACTGCAGCCATCGTACTTCTTTGTCTTGATTGGAGTTGTCGATCCTCAAAGCCTCCTGCACGCTTTACAGGTCCGGGATGGGGTCTCGATGATTGTAGCTACTTACCCTGAGCTTGCTGTGTTCATTTCAGCAGCTCCTGCTGCAGGGTCCTCTCCTTCTCCCACTCCTTGAGTGGTGTGTTGTGAAGGATGTGTGCTGTCGGCTCTCTTTTAGCACATTGAGCAGTCAATTCTCAATTTCTGCTCTTGTAGACAAGCTGGGCCACTCCTGTGGTCCAACCCTTCTCTCAGGGGGCGGTCCTAGTTTAGGCCATGCCCCACGTTGTGCACCATTAAATCCTGTGTGGCTCCTCCCCCAGTTTATCCACTAGGACACTGATGGGTCTTGGAGAGGAGACGATGTCTCCCTCTTGGTTTGGAGGTGATGGGCCGGACTTACAGCCACCTGGGGGTGACCGGTGTGGCTGAGTCTGACGTGTCTCCTCCGGGAGTCATCGGGCGGGAGCCTTTAGCTCAGCCTCCAGCTATCCTCCCTCCAGTGGTCGCTCCCTTCTCGAACCCCGGCCCATGGGTCGGCGTAGTAGTTCAGGACGCCTCCAGGTGCTGGTCACCACCGTTCACTGGTAGCTGCTCCCTCGTGGGATGTGCACTTCTTATTGTGACCGAGATGACATTTTAGTGACCTGGACAATAGGTCTCAAGGGAACTGTTAAAGGGGAGTTATCCTATCTCCCTAGGTTAATAACCATTAAAAATGAATGTATTAATGATTTAGGACCTCATATTATTACCTCTTGGCTTCAAAGTAACCGTACGCTTTAATATGTTATTACCTTGTTGCTTTATAGTAACAAAACTCTCATGTAATCAGAGAAAAACTTTAAAGGACAACTTTATAAATCAATGTCCAGTCATGAATTTGTCTTTATGATGCTGTTAGCAGTTTAATAGGAATTTGCAAGAAAAGCCACATTTGATTATACAGATTAAGAATATTGATTAATAATTGATGGTGATAAAAAATAAAATGCTCTAATATGCTGACCTATCTTTCTGATTAGGTGGTGTGGCATTTTCTGTTAATTTGGAGACGGCAGGAAAGATTGGAGCAGTCGACTTTACCTCCATGGAGTGCATCAGACTTTTGCCTGAAAAGAACTTCTCAGAGTTGGGCTGGGTTCAATTTGGTCTTCGGTTCTTGGACTCGCCGGAGAGGAATCTGTCAGCTTGCCCCAGATGAGATGTTCTTCGGATCTGCTTGCTCCTCTGCTCTCGATGTCCTGCTTCTTGCTGCTTCTTCTCCAGTTGGGGGAACGAAGACACTCACTGCTGAGACTGCTTCTTTTTTATACTCTTCTTTGGGTCTGCTCACCACCTCCTTGCCTTCTGTGGTAAGGTGGGGACTTCCCACCATGGGTTTTTCTGTACTTTCCCACAATGAAGTAATCCTGCTGACTCTTGACAACAGGACTGCTAGGTACTTTTTCTGTGGTGAGTCAAAACCCACACTTCTGCTTTTTCTGTATCGCAGGAATGTGCCTTGTACTTCACCGTCCAAAATAGCACACACCCAACATTCCTTCATCTTAAGACACACTTTGACTCTTTTCTTCCTATATCACCATCTTACATTTAAAAACACTTTAATTATCATGGTACATTAGATAAATCACACACATTGTAACTAAGCATAATCATTACTCAGGTTGCATATGTATTTTTGCCAGCATTACAATTGTTTAACTTCAATAATCATTTCTGCTCCTTCTGCCGCTTGACCTTCTTCTCCTCTCGGTTTCCACTTCGATCCTTTCTGTGGCTTCTCTTCCTGTCGCACTCTCTTCTCTGCTGGGGGTCCAGTGAGGGCTCAGCGGGTTTGATTCCAATCCTGGCGGTGATTGGTGCGGTCGGATCTCTTGACAGTGACTAATGTGGTAAGACTTACTTAGGGTTTCAGGAGTTCTGATAGGTTTTGCTGTGCCTTCTCCCTTCTTGAACTTGGGAAGGAATAATCTGCATGGGCTCTCCAGATGAAGTAGTTGCCGGCAGATGTGCATTTTCATTGGAATGCATTGCAGCCAGGTACAATCTGGTTAAAAAAGCATAAAAGAATATTACATGTTAGTTTGAAGTTGCACCATTAAAACTCATCTAACATAATATTTTGAATAACGAAAAAAAAAAAACATAAATACAGAGTGACTAAAACAACACTGCAATCAATATTTTTTGGCAGATTCTTGAAGCCGATACTACTTTTTCTTCCTCCCTCCATTAACATGATAAAAATAAGAATGATAACAAAATGTTACACACGTCTTAATTTAAAACAAAACAAACTAAAAAAACATTTATTAACTAAGCCTTGTCTGAAGAGGCTGTATAAAGTGCTRCCACACAGGATTTCTTCTTTCAGCCTTTTCTTAAAAAACTAAAAATAAATAAATTCATTGCTTATTTTATCTAGTGCTACATATTGTTTTAATTTGTATTTAATAAGATTAATATATTTTGTTACATAAAATGACTATGTTCCCAGCTTTTTTGATGCAAAAACAGCAACACAGAGAAAAAAAGGAGAGACACACATCCATCTTGCTATCCTTATGAGGACTTCACACACAGCGCTCACACCTTCTCTGCCTCATTCTGCTGCTCCCGTTTTTAACACCAGGCAAAAAATTGCATTTGAAACAGCTGACGTTAACTTTAGATCACWGTTTGAAATGCTCCAGCATTTTTAAAAAGAAAAACAACACGGACACGCTGATTACAGTGCGGTGTGAAAGTGAAAGTAAAACATGGTGCTGAGCACCCGTTTGGTAAAGAAACTTACACACAGCTGTTCTTTCTCCCCTCATATTCCGACACAGAGGGTAGAAACAGCTAAATTAGACAGTTAAAAAACACATTTACAGTTCATAACTCACTCTTGTTATTGTAACATTCATCCTGTGTTGTCCGCAAGCACTTTCCGCCCTGCTGTGGGTCCATTTCCTTGAAAAATAAAACTTAACCAGGCACTTTGATGAATCTCTTACACTGGTAGTCTATGTATATAATAATGTGGGTTTACTCACCCCAGAACTGAACATTTTGACTTCTGAACTTGCATATTCAGCATGACGCTATGAACTACAAAATCACACAGCAAGGAAAAATATGGCGGACTATGAAATCCAGTTGGCCGGAAATACCTTACCATAAATGGTAGTTCCAAAGAAAAAAGTGTGACGAAATAAACAATGAAACGAAATAAGCAACAGCAGATTTTGAACAAACTGAAAAATTTGACCCATAAAAAATATAGAAATATCTTTGCAGTAACTGGACAGAATAAAGTAAAGTTTTCTACACTCCTAGACACTATAATTGCACAAAAATAGTTTATAAATGCAAAAAAGTGCATTTAGCATGATATGTCTCCTTTAAAATATTTTTGTCACTTAGTATTTATTTAAAGTTTGACAGCGTATGCATTTATATTTTCTTGTACTTTACATGTCCTAGTGTGCGGTAAAAACTTAATTAACTCTAAACCATATAATAATAACAGTTAAAGCTAAATCTGTTTAAAAACATCCTGTGTGTCAGGAGGGAGAACTGACTGGCGCCCAACTTTATTATTCTAACAAAAAATAAAAACCATCCAAAAACAGCTACTGTCACATAAAATAATAGTACCCAACATGGGGCAGTAAACGGCATAGTTGACATTAAACAACTTTAAAACAGCATAAACTTTTATTAAAGAAAAGTGACAAATATTTTAAAAATTAAAAATTGTATTTTCAAAATGAGCACAGAAAACCTAAAATGTTGGGCCTCCTGCTTGCTTGGACACTCAGAGGCACGAGTTACACTTTCAGCACCAGCTTAGTCCATGTCAGTTGTAACGAGGAGGTCAGGTGCACTGGTCCTGGATCTCGGGTCCAAAATAAAACTTGCTTCCCACAGGAAGTCAAGACAAAATTGCTTTGAGCTTTGAGCACTGGTTTGGGATCACACCAAGGAATAGTGTGCCCCGTGACTTTCTAGGTTCCCCGTTGGCGATAAAGGGAGGAACCATACAACTTAAGCTAGCTGATCGAGGGAGGTCAGCTCTTGTTGTGGCAGATGGGTGTCCGTCTCCTTCTGACTCTGACCATCGCTCTGACTGTTGGGCGGAAACTGTGTTAGTGATTTAAAGAGGATTTTCTTAGTTCTGCCTTCAGAGGTTGGATTAGAAAAGTAAGAAATCAGGAAGAATGTTAGTTCAGAGACTTGCGGTCACCTTTTGAAGCTTAACAAAGATTAATGCTTCTGCCCAGTTGAATAAACAAAACATATGAATTATTTAGTTATTCTCTGATTAGAACTCTTTATAGAATAATACTGAAAGAATGAATTACTTCAAATTCAATGCATTTGCAAATATGATTCAGACAAATAAAACATTGATGTTTCATCAACTTGAAACCACAAGGATTAGTCTAGTTAAATTATATATTTTCGCAGAAAAATCCATAACATAGCTGAAATCATATTGAGGGAGAAAAGAGATCTGTCCTCTTTCCTCCTGTATTTTGGTATACATTGTTTCATGATTATCGAAATGTGTTATACTCTGTTAAGAGAAAAATTAAATCAAATAAAAATATTACAATGTTTATTACCTGATTAAGAAAAAGAGAATGTCTCTTTTACAGGTTAAGGCGACCTGAGGTGGCCTAAATTCAGTTCTAAGTGGAACAGAGTTTTTTTCTCTTTAAATGCCCCATCAGAGGCCTGGGATCAAAGATAGTTTTCTAGATTATTCCACTCAAGGTGACCCCTACACAATTTTTTCTAATACATAAAGTAAAAAAAAACAATAGTAATAATGAGTTTCATCATTTAAAAATCAGAAATTTCCATTGCGTCAAAAAGTCAAAATTGTGTCATTGTTTCAATTAGTTCAAAGTTTACATGTTAAAGATGATATGACAATTGATGAAATACTAAGATTAATATCACAAACACAAGGCAAAAAAATACAACATTTGTTTACCTTGTCTTGATGAACAGCCTTTTGTGGTGTTTATAAATTTCAGTGATTTTTAGTCCGTATATGATTGGATTACAAAGAGGATTATATGTTATCATTTGCAGCATAATAACAAAACTCGCAATTTTGGAAATACTTGATTCCAGTCGAACTATGATCATGTCAAAAGTAAGCAAAAATGAGTAATTAATTAAAACCAGCTGGTGGGGCAAACAGGTCTGTGCAGCTTTCTTCCTGACTTCTCTGCAACTTCTATAAACAATTACAAGAATGACTGTATAAGTGAACATTATAAAGAACATAATAGGTAGAAGACAGATATCAAACAGAGCAACTAAACCAAATATTAACAGTCCTCTTGAACTCACACAGAAAGTATAGTTTAGTAAGTTGTTGCAATAAATTCCTTTCAAAGTAAAGCTGCAGAGTTTTTGATTAGCGTTCCCTATGACTGGCACAGCAATATGACAAAAAGATATAAGCCATGATAATACAAGGAAAACACTTACAGTTGTTTTTCTCATGATAGTGTGATATTGCAAAGGTTTACATATAGACACATATCTGTCAAAGGCCATGGCTGCCAGCAGTAAAAACTCTGAACAACTCAAAGAGTAAAACACAAAAACTTGGAAGAGACAAGCTGTATACGATATGACCTGTTTTTCAGATAAAAAGTCAATCAAMAGTTTTGGATAGACTCCTGTACTGAAAAGAACAGAGTTGATTAACAAAGCAGCAATAAAAATGTACATGGGCTCATGGAGGTTTTTGTGAATCACAATAAGACACACTGTTGTGGAATACTTATTATGTATCACCTTGACACTGTCCAATTGTTCATATCTTATGATATCGTCTGAACGTCATCTTCAAGCTGACCTACTTCATGTACCAGAACGAGGCAGATTCTGATTGGTTGTTCATTATCACATGATGATAACTGACAGTATAACATTGCTTGCCCGGCCGATGACAGCCGGGCCCACATCTTACAGNAAGGTTCTGGGAGCGATAATATTCCGGTTTCGAGTTTTAAAACAGGGAGGTCGGCTTTACTTTTTTAAAGTAGGCAGTTGGCTCAGGCTAAATTGCCGGGGAGAAAGTCAGTTTCTCCATTTTGCTGTTCCAGGGAACAGGGTAGGCTAAAAAGTCAGCTAGGAAAAGGCGGCCGCCGAATTTCCATTTTAAGGAGATTATATGTTGTGTTTTGAGAAAGCACAAGTTGATAG